CCTGGATCAAGCTATTCTTCATAGTATGACTCATGTTAACACAAACTCTTTTTAAGGAAATCTACCTTCATCCTGCACCTTAAAATATATCCTATATAGGATAATCATGAAAATGAGGTAAAAAATGTATGATATATTAATTAAACAGACATAAAAATGTGGTGATAATGGCCATGGATCCATGGTGATTAATTTTATAAAATGCAGCGTATGGGAATGACCATATGAAATACAATGTGAATGAAGGAATCAGTGAAACAACTCTGTACTGAATGAAACACAATGTATATGAATTTTGTATCCAAAAATTTGACTGTGAGACAATAGTACAACAGATAGCAAAATGAGATCCACATGCACACAAAAATAAAATTAAATAATGTATTATTTTTAAAATCTAGATACTGGAGAAAATGAACAAAAAGTAAGAAAAACTTTTTGAAAGGATTCGAAAAGTCCTTTTAAAAACTCAATTCTCACATAACTATGGAGTCAGAACCAACTCACAGCTAACCAATCATCCAGCAGATTTCCGGAGGCTGCAAGTCCCACCAGAGATAACTGTCCATCTTACTCCCATGGAGGTGCTGGTGGATTTGAACAGCCAGAGGCACCACCACTAACTTGGCAGCACAAACTCTGTAAGTCATGTGGCCAAAGCTCCCACAAAAAGTCCTAGAAATGAAAGTTTTAATACCTGACATTAAAAACTCAATCGATGGATTTAACAGTAGAGAGATACTTGAATAAACTAGAAAATGTATCAGAAGTAATTAGCCAAAATGTATGTCAGAAGAAGAAATGACAGTAATTAGGAAACAGATGGAGAGAGAAGGAATGTGTACTGTACGTGTGATACAATTAATTAATATGGTCCTTTTCCATAATTTTGGACTCATGTACTTATAACTTGTTAGTCAAGTTGTATCTTCTAGGTTTCAACACCCCCATGATACATCTTCAAGGATATGAACATGTACGGCCAAGCACAATCAATAAGAGTGCATCTAAATTCCAAAATCAATCTCCATAATAGTCTATGTGTTTCCTACTGCCAAAGGGGCCCTTTAGAGTAGTGAGAGAAGATCTTCACCCTGAAACCCACAGCGTCCCTTTTCAGCAGGAAGTAGCTAAGAGAATACGCCATGCCCTTTTCCTTATGACTCAGGGTGAAGTCTCTCTCAGGGAGGAGTGATAGGGAATGGCAAAGGACACACTGACAAAGAAGATTAATCAGAACTGGCTTTGACAAGCACTGTGGCATTTGGACAAGAACAAACTGGGAGGAGGGTAGAGAGAATAGTGCAACAATGAATGAATGGAAACCCCAAATCTCTGTAAATGTTTATGAAAATTAATAAAATATAGAAGAAAAAAAAAATTAATATGGTCCTTCCAGCCCCAGCATTCCACTTTGTGATTCTAGCCTCCCTATCTTGAGATCATATTCAAGGATGAGGTATTTCTTTTATTAAAGAGATGGAATGAGGGTGGGATACAAGCCCTACCCTGAGAGAAGGGATTACCCAAGTCCTAAATCAGCTCATAGAATCTCAACACTCACTCGGAACATGGCATCTAGCCTGATCCAGCTAACAGCTGATAAACTACCACAATAGGGATCCTGGCCCATTGCTCTCCAGTCTCTGCAACATCAGCCTACATCACCCACTTTCGCCTGAGTCATTTCCCTGCCGTGTTTTGAATTTCTGTGGGACCTTCCAGTGAATCCCAGAATCTAAAAGATATAGACGGAAGAGGGAGAACTGAACGGGGGAGGAATAATGAGGTCAGGACAACGGAGTGGTACAACAGGTCGGACATCTGGAATATTGTCAACTTCCATTTATAAGAAATATTTTCTACTAATGATTATAAAGGAAATCATTCACAGAGTATGTATACTTCTGGACAGAAAGTAAAGTGTAATACATTGCATGGAAGGAGACTGTCCATTTTTCCTCTGGTGCACTCGAACCACATGCCTTTGGGACTGCAGTGCTATTTCTTACTACTAGACCACCAGAGTTACGCAGGTCACCATAGCTAACTGACAAATTTGTAATGAGTGTAATGGCTCATACACCCCAGTAGAGTTTAAAACTTCGAGGCCCAGACTCAGTCTGTAAGTTGTGACTATGACCCCTCTTCTTCAGCACACCACCATAGTGAACCTGAACAAAGCTCTGACTACTTCTCTGCTTTCAGAATTGACAATTATCTCAAGGAGAAAAGGTGCATGAAAGGTGGGGTCTCACCTCCATTAACATTCATCTTCTCCTAGATGCCAACCTATGAATTGCCCCTGCCTTAACAGTCCTGTGACGCTACACACAGGGGTCATTCCTAATCTTTCTTAGCATCTCATTTCAAAATTATCTGCTTCACCACTAAATGATGTGCCAGCTCTATCACACCATGTCTATGAAAACTAGAAAGCTAGTTCCGAGATAACGAAAACTAGATATCAGTTTGTACAACTAACACATGTTTTCAACTGTATCAAAACTGAAAACCTGACAGTATAAATCCAGTAGATTTAAAAAGAAATTAACAAAAAGCATCAAACTCAAAGAATGCTATGGAAACATTAATAATTAGGAAAAAAATCCTTTTAGTGTTCCTGGGTGACTTAATCTTCTTAAATAATTCAGGATCAAATAAGATATTAAAACATTGTAAATATTATGTTTCTGATGTTGTTATTGCTGTTGTCTTCAAGTTAAGCACAACTCATAGTGACCCTATGAACAAAAAGCCTGAAGCCCCTCTATAACCATTGACATTTATCAAAGTTCATAGAATTCCCGGAGGCATGTTGTGTAGAAAGTGGATGCCACTCCTGCTTCCAAACCTGTCATAATAGGTTATTGTTTGCTGAGTAATCTGCGATGTATAGTGACCATGTACAGCAACCCTTCCCTGTCCTGAGCCAGTCTCACTAATTCCAACACACCAACCCCAGTCACTGAATCAATCCATCTCATCCCGGGCCTCCCTCTCCTGCACTGTCCCTCCACCCTTCTGAGAATGATGTCCCTCTCCAAGGACTGATCTCTCCTGGCCACATGCCTAAAGTAAGTGAGGTGAAGCTTCAAAATCCTAGCCTCCAAGAAGAGGCTTGGTTTCACCCTCTCCTATTTGTTTTCTTGGTGGTCCATGGTATGTTCAAGACTCTTCTCCACCACCACAACTTGAAGGCATCTATTCTTCTTCTGTCATCCTTAGTCATTGTCCAACTCTCTGAAGCATAACAAGTAACTGGGAAGACCATGGCCTGGATTTAATTATCTCAAAAATCAAATAATGGAGTTCCTTTTTTATTGCATACCATTGAGTCAGACCTAACTGGCACAGGAGGAGAATGCCCATCCTTCCCCAGTGGAGCATCTGGTGGATTCAAACCTCACACCTTCAGGATTGCAGTGCAGGTTCTTGCCACTAGGCCACCAGAGCTCCCTAATAACCAAGTTCTGGTAGCATAGTAGGTTAAGTGTTTGACTGTTTCCAAAGTCAGCAGTTCAAATCCTCCAATGGCTCTGTGAGAGAATGATGAGGTAGTCTCCTCTTGTTAAAATGTACAGCCTTATACCCGACAGGGAGTTACGCTAGCTCAGAATCCATGCAATGGCAGGTGGATGGGTAGGTTTTGGATTAAGGAACACATCTCAAATATTTGTTTGCATAATATAAAACTGTCACAATTTATAACCATACTCTTCTGTGCAAAAAGTTCACTCTAAACACTGAACAAACTTTGTATGCAATACTACATCCATTCCATTGGCAAAACACCAATAAGACTTAGAGTCATCAAACCCTGGTGAGAATATGAACACACTCCAAATAAGATTCTTCTGGTGAGAGGAAGAGTAATTTGCCACAAATGACTTGAAAAACAACTAGGAGCATGCAGTAAGATTGAAGAAGAAAATAATCTCAGAAAAAGAAATGTCCCCTCTACATACCTACCCTACCAAGAATTCTTTTCCAGGAACGCATGAGAAAACTGATACAAGAATCACATTGTTTATGATAATCACAAGGGAAACTTAACTACTTAACCACCACAAAGGTTTATATTTCGCATGAAGTTAGGTGCTAAAAGCAAATAAATACTTCTTAATTTTAAATGACAATAAAATACAGGTGTGAAAAACAGATCCCCCAGGGAGCTCTGGTGGCCTAGTGTCAAGAAACTGCACTGCAAAAAAAAAAAAAAAGAAAACTGCACTGCAATCCTAGAAGTATGGGGTTCGAATCTACCAGATGCTCTGCTGGAGAAGGAGGGACAATCTCCTCCTGTACCAGGCAGATCTGATTTGACGGTACACACAGAAAAAAGAAAATAATAAAAAGAAAAATGAAAAAAAAAAGAGCAGATTCCCCAACAGATAATATCAAAGTTACTTTATTAAATTGTTCATCTGAAATAAACAGGGCATCAAAACAAGAGAATAAATTCTTTTATAGGATCAGAAACTATTTCAAAGTCAATCATTTATAGTAATGGTCGCAACAAAGACAATTATTTTGTGCCTTTGTGACATATGAGTATAGAATTCGTTGAAATAATGATTGAAACAGTTCTTTAGTGTCTCCCAGAAAATTTTTCATAATGATCACTATTGTACAAATATACTATACAGACGTTAAGAGCTGGACAGCTAACCAAAAGGTCAGAAGTTCAAATCCACCAACTGCTTCATGAGAAAATGATTCGACTCCTCTCATCAAAATTCAGTGTTGGAAACCCAGTGCTGAATTATCATCAGTCAGAATTTACTCACTGGCTGGTGGGTGGTTTTGGTTTAAAGAACACATATTCAATATTCTTAATAATGCCTACCATTTTTAATAATTACTAAATTTCCCATAATTCCTATTATTACACAATTATAGCTGTTTTTTATACTTTCATATACATATAATGAATAACTAATAAAAAAATAACTAATGACAAATAACCTCTTTATCATGCTTCCATTCAATCTACTCACCAAGTCTTAGTGTTAACTTCATACTTATAAAGATCATCTACTAATCCGTATTTGTTGCCTGGTAATGCTTTATAACCTCCGTGAACATAAATGGACTTTGTTATCTCATCATACACACTGGTATGTCCATAGCCACCTTGTACAATGGCTCCTTTTGTTTCTGGAACAAGCCAAGTGTTAGATGCTGCAAGAAAAAGAAGATATTCATAAACTCGTAGTAGTATTAAGAAACATAACTAACACAGCACCAGAACTACCAACCAGCACATTTAAAAACCACCGTCTTATAAATAAATACAGTATACAGCCACGGGAGAAGGACGGGCAATCTCCTCCCATTTGATTTACTGCTTTGAAAACCTGCTGAAGGGTCAGATATGGGTCAGTTCTGACTCAAAGGCAACACAGATTTAGTAAAAAAGTACTTTCTGAAACTATGTTTTAAAGTGGTAGAGTTAAAGCTGAAAAAGGCTTGTTTTTCCATAATGAATTTAAACTTTGAGTTAATGATAATACCATTTTTTTGTGCAAAAAAGGAAAGCTTTATTCTCGTACATATTGCTGTCACCTGAATAATGTGTACTATTTTATGAGCTTCTGCAATGTAATGATCTGAGTTAGTCTCTGATGTACAAATAGAAGAAAGGCATGATCCATGCTAATGAAAGACTTAAAATTCATTTGAACATGGAAAAAGAAACTTAGCACCATACTTGTCTGTTGACACTGAACCCCATTTTCTCCTCTACAGAATTCTTGGAGCTGAGGATGAAACTCTGAAAAATAACTTTCCAAGCCTCCTTTTACAGCTGGGTTGCTGTTAGCTTCCACTGATGGGCTGTATGGTGACAGAGGAGAGAGGAAGGCGAGGGGGAAGAGCAGGAGCAAGCAGGCAACTGCAGTTTCTAGCAACAGCAGCAGAAGTGACTTCCGCTCTGTGGTCACCTAGGTACCTTCAGTAGTCAATGGCAAATGTGGGCTCTTGGAATCTAATCTGGTTGAGCGGTACCTCCTAGGTTACTGGGTTACTCTCCTCTTTGATGTTTCTATCCCTTCTAACACTTCTGTAATCCATTGCCTGTATTAAGTCTCATTGTTCTTTGTATATGTAGGAAATAGTCTTACTTCTCACTGCAGACTCACTGCATCCAACTATATGCAGGCATGCTTTTTACAATCACTTTTTTGCCCACTGTTAACTGTCTATTGGGTTTTCCAAGAATGCAAGGCAGGAGACTGTCTTTCTCCAGCAAAGCCATGGGTAGATTCAAACCACAACAGAGTCCTGGCCTTGACCTAGCAGAGCAACTGACTATTCCTTATGTGTCATCAAAAAAAGACAATAGCATGCTGGGAAAGGTGGAGGGGAAGAGGAAGAGGAAGATCCTTAATCAGATGGACTGACACAGTAACTAACAAGCATGTTACATTTCTTTAACTGATGGGTCATAGCATTTAAATAACTCTACATTTGTACTCTTTTGGGTCTTTATGCTATTTTTTTTAAATGATGCCATAAACAAGCTAGCGATCATATCATTAAGGTCATTATCTAATATGCCATTGTTAGGTGCCACTGAGTTGAGTACAGCTCGTAGTGACTCCGTGAACAACAGATCTGAATCCTGTCCTGTCCTGTGCCATCCTCACAATCTCTAACATACTTGAGCCCACTGCTGCAGCCAATGTCAATGTCAAGCCATCTGGTTCAGGGTCTTCTCTTCTGTTGTCCCTCCCAAGCATGATGTTCCCCTCCAAGGAATAGCCTCTCCTACCAACATGCCCAAACTATGTGGGATGAAGCTTTATCATCTTTGCCTCCTGCGAGCACCATGAATGCACCTTCTCCCAGACCTATCTGTTTGTTCTTCTGGCAGTCCCTGGGAAGTTCAGTTCTCTTCTCCAGCACTACAGTTCAAAGGCATCAGTTCTTCTTCTGTCATCCTTATTCACTGTCCAGCATTCAAGTGCATAGCAAGTGACTGAAAAGCCCACAGCTTGAATCAGGGGCACCTTAGTCCTCAAATTGATATCATTACTTCTCAATAACTTAGAGAGACTCCCAACTGCATACTTTCCCAGCACAATGCATCTCCTATAGTACATACTGTGTCTCAAGAATTAGCTCATTACTACATTTTAATCTCTTTACTTTAGCATTTCCTGAAACGTTTAGCAATTATACAAGTTTATGTAATCTTAGCTTTTGTAAGGTCTACACACACACAGAATAATTTGCTAAAATGGTATTTTACCTGTAATAATAAGACATTATTACATTATCTAACTAGTTTTTAAAAGTTCTGTCCAAATTAAACTCAGCAGTCAATCCCAAAGCTCATGTCAACAAACATTTGTTTTTCATTATTTCTCTGGCTAAATTATAAGAAGTCCTGGTGGCAAAATGGATAAGCACTTGGCCACTACCAAAAGGTCAGCTGTTCGAATCCACCAGCAGCTCTGAGGGAGAAATGGCTTAGCAAACTACTCCCTTAAAGATGACAGCTCAGGACAACCTATAGGTCAGCTGTACTTGATTATATATGATTGTCACAGCTCATAAGGGACAGAGCTGAATACAACATGATTAAATTGTTATTGGAGGACATATTTCTTCTATTTTAAAAAAAATCTGAAATTATGGAATTGTTTTTTAAAAGGAAGACATTCAAGTTAAAAAATAAAATGGCAATCTCTACCTCCTAACAGAGCTGTTTTATAGATCTGTATTTCCAGATAGCAGTTTTATAAAAAGCAATATCCAATTTACACTTGAAATTCACCACAGAATTTCAAAAACATGCAACAGTAAATGCTGAAGAGAAATTCATATAAAGAATTACTACCCTTAATAGTGGGGGAAAATACTTTTTTTTAAAACATCACATTTAATGATTTTAAATCAAAGAGGAAAAGCTAACATAAAATGACACATTAATAATGACTTCTCAACTACACCTTCCAAATTCTGAAGCCATGAAAAATACTAAAGCAAAACATTATTATTATACTCACCTTGAGACTCACATTGAGATTCTTAGAAAGTTTATGAGGTATTGCTAACCTAAAGTGAAATAAATTTCCCTCAGGACTAACCTAGAAAAGCTTTATGGTCCAAGTTAGTAAAACCATCCACAATAATTCCCCTCTGAGATTTATAGATTCCCTAAAAGCCATAATTCTAAGTATAGCAAAAGGACAAATTGGTATTTCCTTCACTGTCACAGGAGGTCACAAGGTTTTTAAAAAAATCTTCAGTGCTAAGGTATCTTCTATATAACCTTATATGGAAAAACACATTGACTTCTTCTCATTTTTCTAATTCTTTTTTAACATGTGATTTAAAAATCATTTTAAAGGGACAAATGAGTTGCAAGAACAGTCAAATAATTCCCCTTTACTCTTGACCAAGATTTATCAGTTATTAACAGTTTGCCTTACTATTTTGTCATTGGCGCCCCTATACACACACAAACACAATTTTTTTCTTAATTTTATTGTAGCTATCATTCCTGTTTACCCCTAATTTTACGGAAGAGTATGTGTTTCTTTTTTGTTTTGTCTTGGGTTTTTGTTTTTAATGCAGTAAAACAAATTATAAGGGTTTACTAAGGTGATGCAAAGGGGGCATGGTTGATGGAAGACAGAGACAGGCCAAGAGTTAAAGAAAAAGGGGAAGAAAGGTCTGCATAGTCATGCATGGACTCAAACCTTTGGGCGGGCAGCCAGCAGAAAGAGAGATGAAGAGTATATATTTCTTAAAAAGTAAGGAATATCTATTTCTTTAAAATATTTCTGTTTATAGCTGAATAATATTCCATAGTATGGATATACCATATTTTATCCAATTGCTCAGGGACACGTAGGTTGTTACCACCATTAGGTTACTATGAAGAACCCTGAAATTAACATGGGTGTGAAAGTATTTGATTAGGCCTTTGCTTTCCAGATTTTGGGTATACACTTGCCTTAAACTGTTTCAATAGTCAAAATGTCTCAGTTTTTGTCCACAGGAGTATTCCTCAGTCAGATCATTTCATGTGCTTTTGATAAGATCCCATTATTTCCTTAAGATTTAACAAGAAATACCTGGCTCATCTTCTACTAACTTTTCTAGAAACAAAAACCTAAAGTAATAACTTTTTAAAAAAACCCTAAAATATTGTTTGAATTTTTTTTTTCATTCAGTCACACCCAGAGAAAGACTATCTGATCAAATAATGTGCTTAAAAGTTCAGTGTGATTACAATATTTATTATAAACAACTAGGTTCATGTGTATCAGTTGTTTTAGAAAGATTTCACCCTCCTTTCCTGTTAAGTTTTTAAAAATATTTAAACTATCAGTATGCTTCTAAAAGCCAAACTACTGAAAACTTATTTCAAAATAAATCAACTCACGGAAATGTAGCTCCACCCATTATCCTGGTCTACACCCTTGTCTATATATGCTTACCACTCTTAAAAGGAACCAACATTACTGTTCTCTGTTTTCTTTTTCCTGCATTCCTTTTGTTCAAATAAGCAGACATGAACTCCTTTTCATATTGCTCTTACTTTCTTACACAAACTGTGGTATATTACAAATACTACTTTGTATTTTACTGTATCACATAAGATAGCATGGACCTCACTCCATACGAACTTTAAAGAGATCTTCTGGTTTCTCTTATGATTGCATAAATAAACGAGCCCAGTTCTGATTTCATGGTAGCCCTGTCTTATTGTAAATCTTTATAGGAGGAAACTGCTCATCATTCTCTAATGGAGTGCTTAATGGATTCGAACTGTCAACCTACAGGCTGGCAGTCCAACACATATTGCACTATAGCACAGTACACTTCTATTCAAAGTATCACAGTTTATTTATATCTTATATTTTGACATTGAGCTGACTTCCAATTGATATTTGAATAAATAACAATTTGTATATTTTTAGGTATTATCTTCAGAATAAATTTCTAGAAATGGTACTGGTTTATATTTACTAAATACTAGGGCAGTTTTAAAATGTGGCCCCAATTCATCTAAACTCTCAAGAAGAGATCAATGTTCCCTCTCCTTAAATCTGGGCAGACTTGTGACTTCATCAAACAAGAGATCCCAGAATATTGAAGAGAGTACTGAGAAAGAGAAGTATAAAACACAATGTATACGAATGATAAAAATAATAATTAAAAAATAG